CTTTAATTTTTCTCTTATTCTTTCGCACACAGTAAAACCCTGCGTGGATTTATTGCCTTGCATGCGGTGAAATGATAATAATAATCAATGAGAGTTGCTCTGCTAGTAAATACTCCAAGAAAGGTTACCTTATATACCGTATAACTAAAGATCTATCTATCTACTGAGCACTTTTGAATGACATGCTAATTCTAAAAGCAACGGTCACCTGCGTAAATGCGAAGCTCTACAATAAAATGAATGAGGCACTATGACTGCTTGGCGTTTGTAAAAAAAAACAATACGCTAGATTTCGGTGACCCATTCTGTTAAATGAAGATGGTTTTGATCCGGGCTTGAGGCATTCGGTTGTCTAGTCTCACTGAGGAGATTTACAGATACAAATATTTAAGTAAATGCTCTGTTTATAATAAACAGTATTAAACAAAATTTACCGGCCTGAATATCCGAGAAATTTTTACAGAAAATATTCGTCTTCCGACAGGATTCGAACCTGTATCCTATACGGAACCGTCATTTAGCTTGACGTGCCTTTACAGATTTGGCCACAGAGGGGCGTTCAGTTAGCAAGGTCGAATTTACTGTATATATGTGTGACGTCATTTGTTTACATTTGATACGCCATGAGCAGATATGAATGTACGTGAGAGATTCATGGAAGATTGAAGTTTAAAAACAGTAAATTCGACTTTGCTAACCGAACGCTCCTCTGACAGGTCAGTAAATGTTGTTTAATACTGTTTATTATAAACAGTCTGTCGAACTCTCTGCTTGCAGAGAGGAACCCGGACGAAGCTCTGCCGAAGGGTAGGGTTTCGTTGGGGGAGGTTGACGGAACTGGCCCGCCTAGGCGGGTTTGGATGGTTATTTATTTTTGGCTGGGCCTACGGGCTCAGAGATACCCACATTAAAAAGGCCTTGTGCCACATTCGATCCCCGTGGGTGGATTGATAAACACCATCTATAAAAAGAATGTATAAACATAAAAATGTCTTAAAATATATATATATATATAGAAAGAGAGAGAGTAAGAGAGAGAACTTTATTTATACGGTTATTTAAGATAACCTTTCTTGGAGTACTTGTTAGCAGAGCAACTCTCGTTTGATTTTCATTATCATTTAAACAACAAGCAAGGCAATAATATATATATATATATATATATATATATATATATATATATATATATATATATATATATATAATTTATTTATATGTTTTTATACATAAGAGTAATTTTAGGAGAATTAATAACAAAGTAGAAAATTTATTTCCAGAGACGAATTTCTTTCTTTAGGACTTCATCCGTTTAAAATGATGTTTACGTTGATTAACACCAAATGCGCACGAAGGGGAGGGGACATTGAAAACTAACTATTTGTTGTGTAAAATAAATGCCTTTTTCATCCTTAGGCGACATCCATTACCTATATATAGATAGGATAGATAAAAAAATATCTGTTCAGCTGTCAAAACTTCAAGCTCATTCAATTTTTTTCAAGTTTAGCTTACACTAGGTGACCATAGCATATTTTGACAGAAAAAGCCTTTGGCATAATATCAAAGTCAGACAGATGTTATCCTTATATAGAAACAGTTAATGAAAAAAAGAAAAGAAAGCATTAGGCAACGTCATGACACGCATTTTTTCAGTTCGTAGGAATTATTTTAAACACTTCCAGCCATTTACGAAAGCTGTCAAAGTCATGAAAAATACAATCGCTTTTCTGCGTTACCATAATAGAAGAGACGCTCAGATGTTACATCTCCACTTAGGACTACATTCTCTTCAAAAAATATTTCACACGGACCAAATCCACAAGTGTTGCGCGATAGGAGAGTTTCATTAAAACCAAGTTTATCGGTGTTTTTTTTTTTGTTATTATTTTTTTTAATGTCATCAACAAACAATCACTTGCTGCAACCACCATATGAAACCGGACGTCAGCGTACGACGCCCTGCACCGTCCCTTGTGTCCACTGAATAAACTCAGATTTAGCACACGATGGCAATCATCGAAACAAAACGGATTTTTCATTTCCTTACCTCTCCCGATCGGATTAAGAAGCTCGGGCGTTTCTAAGGAGCGGTCTCGTGGGCCCACCCTCCCTTCTCGTGGGCCCACCCTCCCTTAACAACGCCATAAAGCTTCTGTTAGGTTCCCGGAAACGATACAGATCAAATGATATGACTGCACCAATACAGTCAATTAATGACAACGACAAGGTTGCCTTGGAAACTAAATGTGTCTTCTTTAACAGAGTTTCATGTCTAAAACGATTCATGCCTGTTACAAGTAAACACTAAACAAAAAGTCTGCAATTTAGATATACAAAGCGCAGTATAGTCTGGTATAAGGCCGAGAATGATGAACTCAATGTGAAAATAGAACATTAGTCTGCGAGACTAGCTTGTTAGTGACTAATCGACGATTTCCCTTGTTCTGGATCAGGGCCACTGGTATGGGACAGTTGAAATAGCTAGATGTAACCGTAAGTTCTATGTTAACAGTTTCTTCTCTTGTCTTCTCGTTTGTGGAACTCTCTTCCGGCTTCTTGCTTTCCAGCCAAATTTACCTTCAAAAGTTTAAATGCAATGTCGATCGTCATCTTTTTTTTACTTAATTCCTGTTCTTTATTTTTATCTCTGCTTAATAATGTTTTAATTTTTCTTATATTCTTTCGCACTTATCAATTTCCCGCGTCTTTTGTTGCCTTGCTTGGGGTTAAATGATTAACGGGCTAACGTCTTTCGCTGACATTTTGTGGAAAGATTATATCGAATCAACTGCCGGGTCTACTGTTAGGAAAGTTGGTTCTCTCTGTCGGGCTAGATATTTTTTTCTCGCCCGAATCTATCTTACATATTTACATCTTCTTAATTTCTCTATTCTGTTCTCTCCTATGCGTTTTTCTTATTTTCATTCACACCCAGGAAGCCCCTGCGTGTTAGTGACTCTGTTGCCTATCACGGGGTGAAATGATAAAAAAAAATAGGTATATGTATGCCTGACTGTTCGTAACCGAGTATGCCCTCATGCCTCTATGGTATAGTGGCTGACTCATCCAGGCAAATCTGTGTTTCTTCAACGCTCACAGATATATAGTGTTGTGGTAGGATCCACCTAATTTGCATAGTGGAGTACCGATCATATAAATATGGTTGGTACCGGGAAGAGAGAGAGAGGAATCAAGAGATTCAACCAGAGACTCTGCCCGACTGCGACTCAGTCAACACATTCTCCAGGAACGGTCTTACCAGGAATATACAAGACTATATGTAAATATTGTGTACACTTTCTTGTTTCAATACATTCTGTTCTAAGTACCTTTTGTGTTGCATTATTACTCCATACATTAGTCAAGTTTCAACATGTAGTATACTGCAACTATGCTGATTGGGCCTAAGTTAGAGTTTCTGTGAAAGATCGCATGATCTGGCGGTAGCAACAATTTTAAGAAGCCGCGTGCGTTAAAAATGTCGGTAATGATGACGTGTGGCTTCGTGGTAGCCCGATTCCTAACCATTTCTACCTACCCAGCTTTGCTAATAAAGCTTGGATCTACCCATAGTATGGTTTTAACCACTTCACACCAGTGACACACACTGAGTTCGTCTCCCCAAGCCAATATCATTAAGTTTATTTCCCTGATAAATCGTCTGTGGTTAGATTCAAAAGCGGATCCCATGAAATGCTAGCGATTTAACGACTCGACCACGTGGCCACTAATAAGGTGGGATAATGGTAAGAATCCTTCATCTGGAACTCCCGACATAGATTAGGAAAAATGATGATGCAATAACAAATTTTGTAGTTTTTCACATAACGTGTATTCCAGCGCCAATTTCACGCTTCGAAAATGAAGAATAAATTTTTATCGGTTGCCTGAAAATAATGCAACCATTATTGACAGCATAGGGCTCCAAGTAAATCAGTCGTTACTGACAGAATAAGGTTTTCATATCTATAATTTAAAGTCGTAATGTTTTATGATAGAACAACATTGCAACTGGAAACTGCATTGTTAATAAATTGTGTAGAAAAAATGCTGTGAAAACCGGAAAGGAAAGGTTTTATCAGGGTTCCGGATTTCTGATAAAAAAAAAATATCCCGTTCTCAGCAACACGTGATTCAATTACTAATCCTCAAATGCAAGATGGCAGAAAGTATGAGCGTCAGCAAGAGAAAAAAGAAAACAACACAAGATGCTAGTTACAAATTGGAGATGTAAGCATCAAGCAGGTGTAGAGGTTCAAAAATCTGGGATGCAGTTTAGCAGAGGATGGAAAATGTGACACCGAGATTGGAACAAACATTGTGCTAAAAACAGAAGCATTGCAAAAAAACAAAACAAAACAAAAAACAAAACAAAAAACAAAACAAAAAAAAACCCCAAAAAACGAGGCAAGTTGCTGAGAAACGGATTAATTTCGCTAGAAACAAAGAAAAGACTACTGGATTGCTATGCGATATCCATCCTCTTATATGTCGTGGAAGGTTGGACAATATGGATGAGGAGAAATGCGGTTCTACAGAAAGATAGTGAAAACTCCATGGACGGAATAAATAAGCAACAATGAAATCTTGAAAGAACACCCAGAATTCGGAAATGACAGCAGAAATTCCTTGGACACATAATGAGGAAGAAAAAGTGAGGAAAAATAATGATCACGAGGCATATTAAGAGATAAGGGAAGGTAGCGAGACACTTACCTGAAAAGCTTTTTTTTTAATGGATGGCGGAAGCTGAAGCCTTAGCAAAGAGAGAAAACTGCTCAGGTCACCAAGGGATATGAAGTTTTGGAGAGAAAGAAGAATATAATAACATAATATTTTATTATAAAAGAAAGAGCATTGCCAATTGTTTGACTAGGAAAGAAAGAGCATTGACAATTGTTTGACTAGGAAAGAAAGAACATTGCCAATTGTTTGACTAGGAAAGAAAGAGCATTGCCAATTGTTTGACTAGGAAAGAAAGAGCATTGACAATTGTTTGACTAGGAAAGAAAGTGCATTGACAATTGTTTGACTAGGAAAGAAAGTGCATTGACAATTGTTTGACTAGGAAAGAAAGAGCATTTCCAATTGTTTGACGAGGAAAGAAAGGGCATTGACAATTGTTTGACTAGGAAAGAAAGAGCATTGCCAATTGTTTGACTAGGAAAGAAAGTGCATTGACAATTGTTTGACTAGGAAAGAAAGAGCATTGACAATTGTTTGACTAGGAAAGAAAGAGCATTGACAATTGTTTGACTAGGAAAGAAAGAGCATTGACAATTGTTTGACTAGGAAAGAAAAGAGCATTGACAATTGTTTGACTAGGAAAGAAAAGAGCATTGCCAATTGTTTGACTAGGAAAGAAAGAGCATTGACAATTGTTTTAGGAAAGAAAGAGCATTGACAATTGTTTGACTAGGAAAGAAAGTGCTAGAAAGATTGACAATTGTTTGAAGGAAAGAAAAGAGCAATTGTTTTGATTGACAATTGTTTGACTAGGAAAGAAAAGGCCAAAAGGAAAGAGCATTGACAATTGTTTGACTAGGAAAGAAAGAGCATTGACAATTGTTTGACTAGGAAAGAAAGAGCATTGACAATTGTTTGACTAGGAAAGAAAGAGCATTGACAATTGTTTGACAAGGAAAGAAAGAGCATTGACAATTGTTTGACAAGGAAAGAAAGTGCATTGACAATTGTTTGACTAGGAAAGAAAGAGCATTTCCAATTGTTTGACTAGGAAAGAAAGAGCATTGACAATTGTTTGACTAGGAAAGAAAGTGCATTGACAATTGTTTGACTAGGAAAGAAAGAGCATTTCCAATTGTTTGACTAGGAAAGAAAGAGTATTGACAATTGTTTGACTAGGAAAGAAAGAGCATTGCCAATTGTTTGACTAGGAAAGAAAGAGCATTGACAATTGTTTGACTAGGAAAGAAAGAGCATTGACAATTGTTTGACTAGGAAAGAAAGTGCATTGACAATTGTTTGACAAGGAAAGAAAGAGCATTGCCAATTGTTTGACATTGACAATTGTTTGACTAGGAAAGAAAGTGCATTGCCAATTGTTTGACTAGGAAAGAAAGAGCATTGACAATTGTTTGACTAGGAAAGAAAGAGCATTGACAATTGTTTGACTAGGAAAGAAAGAGCATTGACAATTGTTTGACTAGGAAAGAAAGAGCATTGCCAATTGTTTGACTAGGAAAGAAAGAGTATTGACAATTGTTTGACTAGGAAAGAAAGTGCATTGCCAATTGTTTGACTAGGAAAGAAAGAGCATTGACAATTGTTTGACTAGGAAAGAAAGAGCATTGACAATTGTTTGACTAGGAAAGAAAGAGCATTGACAATTGTTTGACTAGGAAAGAAAGTGCATTGACAATTGTTTGACTAGGAAAGAAAGAGCATTTCCAATTGTTTGACTAGGAAAGAAAGAGCATTGACAATTGTTTGACTAGGAAAGAAAGAGCATTGCCAATTGTTTGACTAGGAAAGAAAGAGCATTGACAATTGTTTGATTAGGAAAGAAAAAAGACAATTGTTTGACAAGGAAAAGAAATTGCATTGACAATTGTTTGACTAGGAAAAGAAAGAGCATTGCCAATTGTTTGACTAGGAAAGAAAGAGCATTGACAATTGTTTGACTAGGAAAGAAAGTGCATTGACAATTGTTTGACTAGGAAAGAAAGAGCATTGCCAATTGTTTGACTAGGAAAGAAAGAGCATTGCCAATTGTTTGACTAGGGAAAGAAAGAGCATTGACAATTGTTTGACTAGGAAAGAAAGTGCATTGCCAATTGTTTGACTAGGAAAGAAAGAAATTGCCAATTGTTTGACTAGGAAAGAAAGAGCATTGACAATTATTTGACTAGGAAAGAAAGAGCATTGACAATTGTTTGACTAGGAAAGAAAGTGCATTGACAATTGTTTGACTAGGAAAGAAAGAGCATTGACAATTGTTTGACTAGGACAAAAGGAAAGAAGCATTGACAATTGTTTGACTAGGAAAGAAAGAGCATTGACAATTGTTTGACTAGGAAAGAAAGAGCATTGACAATTGTTTGACTAGGAAAGAAAAAGCATTGACAATTGTTTGACTAGGAAAGAAAGAGCATTGACAATTGTTTGACTAGGAAAGAAAGAGCATTGACAATTGTTTGACTAGGAAAGAAAGAGCATTGACAATTGTTTGACTAGGAAAGAAAAGAGCATTGACAATTGTTTGACTAGGAAAGAAAGTGCATTGACAATTGTTTGACTAGGAAGAAAAGAGCATTGCCAATTGTTTGACTAGGAAAGAAAAGCATTGACAATTGTTTGACTAGGAAAGAAAAGCATTGCCAATTGTTTGACTAGGAAAGAAAAGAGCATTGACAATTGTTTGACTAGGAAAGAAAGAGCATTGACAATTGTTTGACTAGGAAAGAAAGTGCATTGCCAATTGTTTGACTAGGAAAGAAAGTGCATTGACAATTGTTTGACTAGGAAAGAAAGAGCATTGCCAATTGTTTGACTAGGAAAGAAAGAGCATTGACAATTGTTTGACTAGGAAAGAAAGTGCATTGACAATTGTTTGACTAGGAAAGAAAGTGCATTGACAATTGTTTGACTAGGAAAGAAAGTTCATTGACAATTGTTTGACTAGGAAAGAAAGAGCATTGCCAATTGTTTGACTAGGAAAGAAAGAGCATTGACAATTGTTTGACTAGGAAAGAAAGTGCATTGACAATTGTTTGACTAGGAAATCGCATTGTAAATAAACTGTGCTGAAGAATGTAAAAAAATAGATTATCAGAGATTAAGATTTCTTGAAAATAAACTGATCGTCTCAGTTAATTCCAATTAACACGAGTCATTGTGTTGCGGTAGAAAAATTTTCTCGTAAGAATCCATCTTGCACATTTATAAATCTACTACTCGACCGTGAATTGGGTACCGTTGCCATATCTGGTCGGGTCCTTCTTCTGTAGATTTCGACATTTTTGACAAAATCCCAAAAGAAGGATCTGTAATGTAATCGAACCTGACGAAATTTCTTAAATTCAGTCTCTTTCTCACCAATGTGACATTTTTTTTTTTTCTTTTTTACAAATATTTTCATTGCAACTTATCTGATGAGCTTTTTCCTCCTGGTGCACTGACTACATGAATTTAAGTGTGCTACTAGATTGGCATCTAGTTTTAATGTTGAAATAACTAAATGCAACGTCCATTGCTACTCTAAGAGTTTTCTTTCACGAATTTCTCACCTGATGAATTCCCTTTCGATTCCCCGATAACTACAATCTTCAAAATCTGAAATGCAACGTCAATCGCCATCTTCTGTCCCCTTGAAACCTGTTTATTCCTCAATCCTCTCCTTTCTCTTTCCCTTTCACTCCCAGTAACGTCCCCTTCCCTGTTTTCCAGTGACATTTTCACCTTGCTTCGATTGAAACGACTGATAAAAAAAGAATGGATTCAGTTTTCGTTTGTTTTTTGATACTTGAGATCGCTCTCCAATTCTATTCGTGCTAGATAAAGAAAATGACACTTGCCATATGTATACATTTGTCCATTAGACTAAGGTAAGCAATTTCCTTCAGCACCCCCCCCACCGCTAATACAATCTTTTTCTCTCCAGTTGAAGTCTGAGGTTCCTGTACGATCACCGAAGTTAAGCTGCATCGAGCCTGATCAGTACCTAGATAGGTACCTAGAGCTGTAAGATTGGGTGTACGGGTGGTGTAATGAATAATGGTTCGAAATTGTTAATTGGAGAGCCGAGTTTCAATTCCCGTTTGCATCGTTATAACCACATATGCGCAAATACCGCTGGGAAAGGTATGAATCCACTTCTTCGCCAGCTATCTAGTTGTAGTCTACCGTAGTAGACATTCATAAATCTGATTTTCAAGGGACAGTTGGTTTCTACCTTGTATTATTTTTTGAGATTATTCTCAAAATTGCAGAATTTTTTTTTATATATAAATACCTTAAAAAGACACAATTAAAAACAATAGCTAATGTTTAAAATTAATTTAAAAAAAATGAAAAAAAAATGTTTCTTGAAGCTTTCATTTCAGTTTTATTTTCAAGCTAATACATTAAGTTTAATATTTCCAATAAGCAAAATACATTGATGTATTTCAAAAACTAATTTAAAACTAATTTAGCTGGACTGGAAGGAGTGTTTTTATTTTAGCAAAAAAAAAAAACAAAAAAAAAACAAAAAAAAAACAATAACAACAAAGCAACAACAACAACAACAAAAACAAGAACAACAAAAACAAGAACAACAACAACAACAAACAAACAAAAAACAAAACAAAACTAGTTTTATCACATTTTTTATTTTACAATTCAGAGCAGATTTTTGGTTATTGGTGTTTCTGTTTGGCAAAAAACAAATTGAAGATTTTAATTCTCCAAGGAGTCCTGCTTTTAACTAATATAAATGTATAAAACCAAATACATTGACATTTTAATTTATCGAAATTTCATAAAATTGTGTATGTAGGGTAACAGATATAAAAATATATTTTATCAAGATTTTATAATAAAAAAATTTCCAAAATAATTTTATTCATTTGTGAATCAGTCCTGAAAATTTCATTAAAATTCAACAATTGATTTTTGCAGTAATTTCCAAAACAAAATTAATTTTTCCATCCTTGGCCCAGCCGGTAAGTTGGTCTTTCCTCTTAGTAATAACAAACATTTTGACATAAAACTTTGTTTTTATCAAGTTTAGGGCCTTTTTTTTTATCATGGCATACTCTTTTTAGGAGATTTTTGTTGGTACCTACTTTTATATCCATAATCGTCTTAAATAAATATTTTAATATCCCGTTAGGATAAAAAAAATATACATCTGTTTGGAAACAATTTTGTCTATTCACGAAACACTAAATAGAGATTTATTTGTTTCTTTTGTTCTAACTTATGGTGTTGGGCACCAATATGTTGGAGCGCTGTAGAATAAAATTTGGTTAAAAAGGAAAGAAAAATAAAAGTGATTGTTGATGGAACGCTGTGGTGGTTGTAGAAAGAATCAAAGAGTGGAATAGTGGCCAAGAAACTGTCAGAATGTGAAGAATTGGACACGGAAAGCCTGAATGTTTTAGAAAGAAGCAAAATAAAACTAAAAAAAAGAATTTCCTTGCATGTTGCGCAGTAAGATTTATTTAAAAAATTTTTCCATATCCTTTCCTTTATTATTTAATGCACTTACTAAGCTTAGCTTAGTGTTATACAAGGCTATGGGGAATTGTTTCAGAGTAGGATCGTGTCACGCCATTTTGGAAAATATAAACAAATTGCCTGTCTTAGTTGCGTACATCTCATTGATATTTATTTATCTTATTTGTTTGTTTGTGTAGCGGCATACCAACTCTTTATCGGTCATTTAATGTCGAAATTTAATATTCTTAGGGGCATTTGTAATTTCTCTTTCAAAAATGTATTGCTGGTAATTTTTATTTTTCAAAAATATATTGTTAGTAATTTTTTACTATGCAAATGTATTGCTGGTATATTTACTATAAAAAAAAAATGTATCGTGTCTTGTTCAATACCAGGCCGCTCCTCTCTTCTGTCCGTAAGGTTGTTCTCCCCACCACTCATCAAGTTAATTCTGATGTATATAAATACAATTGTGGTTACGGATTCAGATACATAGGGAGGACTATCTTGCAATTAGATGCGAGGATAAAACATGTGCTAAGTAAGATCAATAATCACAACTTGGTCTCAAATGAATTAATCCCAAATACTTACAATCCTCAATTTGTGAGCACCATTCAAGGAACAGTGCGTCTTCGGTTGCATTCATTGTTGACTGATTTACTGTTTTGTCCCAGTCACACTCTTTATTTCATCTAAAAGTACTAGAGTCATTGTATATCAAGCCTTGCAAACCGTCTCTCTGTAAACAGCGTGATTGTTTGCTGGGGCTTGTTAGCATGTGTGTCTAGTAACCCCGCCTCTTGTATTTTCACCCTTCTCTATCCTCTCATCAATCATTCA